GGACCTATGTTCAGCTCTTATTTTTAAACCTACAACCCTCAGCACCCAAGCAAGCTCAACGGGAATTTTTCAAAACAGTGGTTTGACACAAGAGCCAAAAACAAGTCAGGGAACATGTGAACTTCTTACAGCTCTTTGGAGAAGCCAGGGAAGGAGTCTGGAGGTGTTAACTGTGAGAACTGTGAAAATGCTGAGGAGGGCAGTTGCACTAAGTTATCATTGCTGTCATCTCCATGGTCTGATACTACACTATTGATGGCTCAGATGTTTGTAGAACTGGATAACACCAGTTTCGTATGTTCCTCTGCTAGTCCATGCTTTTCCAAGCACATTTAAGACCTGGATAAATTGATCAAATACAGTAGATCTAAAAAATCTGTAGATCATAGAATCACAGAATCAACCACTTCTGGGTGAGCAAAAAAGAGAGAGAAGTAATAAATACAAAATACAAAACGAGCAACTTCAGTGACTGCTCTTAGGCAGAAGCCAAAAGATCAAGAAGGATCCTACAGCATGGACTGCTCAAGGCAAGGGACTACTCAGTCATAGCAGAGTCCTGAAGGTGAACTCCTCATTGTACTCACACCTTCACAACAATATTTGCCTCTCTTCTGGTTAGAAAAAGAGCAGGATGTACCTACATCATGGAATGAGGAAAAAAATAAAAAAGGAAGATAAGGTTTCCATATTTCAGATTATATGGAGACTCTGTATCTGTGGGACTTTTCATTCCAAAGTTAACTGTGTGCTGAAGAGAGTCTGGAACAGCAGAGCCTTTGTGCTTCCAAGTTTTGAGGTGGCCTCAGAGTGCAGATCTGCTCTTCTCTCTTGTTTCTGGAATACTTTTTGACAATTAGCAGAATCAATGACCACAGAGCAAGAAGTCTGCCCAATCCATCAAGGCCCAAATGTGAAAAGAGGAGGACGAGAGAGAGAACCTTCTAATGACAGGAAGGGGAGAAGAGGTGTAGATTTTTTTTGGCTGTATTCAGGAGCATTTCCTCATGAATTCTGGAAGAGAGTCAGGAAATAAAGATAGCAGCCAGCACTCACCTCCTGCATCCTTTTAAGGGAGAACTAGACAAACGCAGCAGTAGCAAATAAAGGAAACCATAAGTAACTTTCTCTGTGCAAGGCAGACACTACTCCAGTACACACAGTTGGCACAAACCCAAGGTATAAAGTCTGCTTGGTAAAATTCTCAATACATATTAAAAACTCAAGTATGCTGATCTCTGCATTTTTTTCCCAAAGTTGGTGGGAAAATTAAAGCATGGGTTGATGCTGCTGAGAACAGAGGAGTCAGTAAGATTCCCATGTTTAGGGGAAAGAACAAAGAGATGGAGAAACTATTATCTTGAATCTCAGTTAGTGTCAATAGACTCTGGAGAGAAGAAAACCTGCACTGGAACCAGGACCACAGCACCTTTTCCATCCTTCCAGAAAGGCTCACCCAACTTCTAGACATGAGAGAGCAGAGGTGCTTGGAATCTTGTCTAGTGGAATAATGCCAGCAAAATATGGGACCTCTTCTTTCTACAGGTTTCATTCTTTTCTCATCACAAGCATATCTGCTGTTCCTATTGAGTCTACAAGGACAGAGGAGAAGGAAAGAAAAGAGAGTATTTCGTTTTCCACAGAAGGTAATCCTCATGTTCTGTGGTTATTTATTTATTTGTCTATTATTTCTATATGTGTATATATTCCTTTGCAGAGGAATAGTGGAGACCAAGAGCACAACCACCACCTGATATCAGCAGGAAGTCAAGAGCATGGAGAATGTGCTCACCTTAGGTGAAACACCACCAGGTCAGCAGCTGACGGGATCCCTAAGCAAAAAAAAACCCTATCCCTGCAACAAATCAGGATTGATGGGTCATTAAAAACAGTGACTAAATTACTTTTTGTGTAGAAATATTTAAAATACCGAATAACACAACCACTTCCAGTACAAAAGTAACCAAGCATGTAGCAAGTGTATTACATCAACTTCAATAATAAATCTAACCTGCTAATATTTTCAACACTATATTTGTTCTCGCACACTTTCGAATTACTCCAACACTATTTTAAACAAATCCTTTCGCTGAAGAAAACATCAATATATCAAAACTGTTTTTTACACTAATGAGTTTCCCTTTTTGCAAAGCAATTACTCTAAGTACTGAAAAGGTTTCCGTGGCACCCTCCACTTCCAACTGACAAATATCAGCAATAGCTGGATATAAAACAAACAAACTGAAAACCCCAAATCAGCAGCGTTTGACTCGAGGAAAAACATTAAATGTTTTCAAGCAGAAGCACTGAAAAACTTATGCCTACTGAAAGAAAAAAGTATGTATGCACACCTGCTGCTCTATCAATCTAAGCAGGAAACCATTTCGCTGCTGCATCATAAGTAGAAGAAAAGTGCTTATTAAAACATTAATCACAGTCCATTATATTCTGACTCCAAGCCAGAAGTTCCCATTACATCACTGAAAATATCTATTAACCAAAACCTGATTCTGACAAGTTACAGAAGTGTAGTGTTTAGGATTTAGTAATGTAAAAGTCAGTTTTAGAAGAACAGTTACACAATTGATTTTGCAGTGGCAAGCAACTATAATTAATTGTTTTTGTGACATTTATTACTGCAATGGGGTTGATTTAACTGGTGTTTCTACTGTAAAATTATTAAAAAATTATTTCAAACTTCATCTACTTTTATTAAACACATTTATTGTGAAGGCATTTAATACCTAGGACTGGCTAAACAATTTTAAAATGTGCTGGATATACCAGTACATGTAAAACTGTATTGTCTTGTGTAAATATGGGCCTTGTTTAGAACCACGTCTCACAGGAAATTATGCCAAATGAAAACCATCTCCCCTTCTCCTCTCCCACTGAAAAGGATTTATGTTTTTACATTTAATACCAGTTAAAGAAACAAAACCATGGTGGCGTTACCTTCAAGCCTGAGCAATAGTTCAGCTGTGCAGTTCAATTATGCTCAAACCCCTGTTTTGTTATTAGAAATGCAGCCTAACTCAAATGCTTCAATTTGGAAGAGGGAGAAGTGAACAACTCAATTCTTTCTGGAAGCCTGGCACTACGTGGCTTGTTAACCAAGAACACTTTTCAACTAACTATCAGCAAGCCAAAGCCATGAAAATCAGTTCCTAGATGTGTGCATATATAATTTCTAGCCAACCATTTTAATTGTAGGTACTTTCCTCAACCCCCTGGTAGGCAGCACCACTAAAAAAAGAATTCAAAAAACAGCTATAGAGCATGATAGGAAACACATATTACGTTTTTTTGCGATTCCACCAAGTCCAACTGCAATCAGGGAACAGATGCACAAACTGCTGGACTGGAAGGAGCTAAAAACTTCAATACTTATCGGTGTGCAATACTCAGATTTATTTTTTTTTAATAGGAAACTAGGAAAAATAAAGAAGAGAACACACATGTGATGGGATAACATCAAATCTTACGAAAGGTTCTCCGGTTCCACTTTTTCAAAAAGTTCCTCCAGTGTGATATAATCTGAGGGACCACAGGGTCATTATCAAAATAAGAAAAGAGAGACTACCAGCTCTTTAAAATCTCATCATCCACCCAGATCAGTTACATACACAGGATCAAATTTATCAGTGGAATTACTGACTTTGGCAATTGGCATGCTCCTCCGGGAAGAGATCCCTCACTTCTTCAGAGAAGCTTTAAACATAATTGACTCCTGCAACAGAGTTATCTGAAGGGGGTTAAAGAATTACAAGCAACTGCTTGAAAAGCTGCAGAAAACTTCAAGAAAGAAACTCCTGCACTTCCCTCTGACATTTCAGAACTTGTAATTCACCTTTGCAGCCACTGATACCTGAACAAACAATTTTCATTCAGGAGGCTGCTTTACAACTACATTTACCAGTGTCAGCCAAGACTTTACTCCTCACGACTAAGGTGTTCCTGCCTCTGTAGTCCAACACTGAGTTTAAAGAAAGCATTTGGGGCTCTGTCCCAGGAAGAACTACAAAAGTTGGAGGACACTGAGGCCCTGCTGTTGCTGAAGTGAGAGATAAGCAGGAAAGATCACTCCTGCATGTGCAAAACGTATTGTTTTTCCTTGTGGCAACTACACAATTCCCAATGCAATTATCCATCTGGCTGAGGAGTCAGAGAAAGACTCGAAAAGGGCAACATGATGGAGTGCAGGAGAAGCGAGGAAGGAAAAAAGTAAAGAAAAAGAAAATACTGAGCACAAAAACTACTGACCTCAAATTTACCACAAACTTTCAGAGAAGCAACAGAAGATCTAAAATTTACCTTCTACAAAAACACACTTTTTCTAAGTAGATGGAGGACAGTCTGTGGGCATAAAAAGTCACAGGAGAACCAGACATCAATAGCAATATCAATGCAGGAGATGAAGGGAAGGATGAAATCAAAGAAGGGCTTTCAATAACAGATAAGAACTGTCACAGACAATCAGATATTTTTAAATGGCTGGTAGTAACAAGGCTTTGATTTGGTGAGACACAAAGAGTGCAGAAAATAGGGCACTTGGCCCACACAATTGCTGGATGCCTCCTGCCACATTATAACCCATCAGCAGGCACCTTTGCATGAGTGGGCACCATTCATGTGCCCACTCAACAGCACTGCCCCTACACCTGCAGAGACAACTCAGGGCTTGCCTCCTACCAATTCACAATAATAAAGCCAATATTACCATCCTGATCTTCTGAAACAATTTTAAATATTTACTGATTCATCCCATAGTACAGTTTGCAGACAAATCCCCATTCCTTACTTTAAGGCTCTGAAAGATTTTTTCCTCTTCACATTATTAGCATTTTAATAAATGTATGATTTAGTATTCAGCAAGCCCACACTACAGAGAGACTATTCTAGAATAAATGGTATAATTACATTTCCTACAGCGACCTTGTAATCTCTCGAGTATTTATTCTAGACTAAACAGCCTTACTCAGCTGCCCTGTGTCTGATTGCCGATGAAAGAAGCTTGTTTGACAACTGCTTCGAGCAGAAACATATTTTTTCCATGATTGCATGAAAAAGTAAAAAAACATTACCAGAGCAGTATTCCGAGCACAGAGACTCGTGTTAGATCGATGAGTTAATTTTGAAGCCAAACGCCAACAAAAACAATCACTATGGACATTCTGCTGTCATGGCCAGCTTTTGAGGCTAATTTAGTGGTACATATACAACTACAGCCAACTTTACATATAAGAAACTACATGGTGTATTCAGGCTTCCTTCTTTGTTTCTTTATATATTTTCCATATTCTCTGCTTTTATAACCCCCCCGAGACCTTTTACAGTTACAGAACCCACACTATACCCACAGGTGGGCGGGCAGGAAGCAAAACTCTCCGTTTCATAAGCAGGCCACTTTTAATATATTCAATTGCTAATGACCTTGACAGAAGAGCTCCATGCAAAACACCATATTCTACAGGGTGTCGTTTGAAATGTTCACGGACGTTTCTGCCAGAAAGCTGATTTCTTAAACAGTAAGATTTCAGACTTACTAAAGGCTGCGCTCCTCGATTTCCATTCGGCTGGAAAAATTGGTGCTGATCTACCTCCCCCATATTGAATTTGCATCCTTAGAAATCTTAGGGTTTCTAAGATGAAACTTGTAGGATTTCTGTGGTACTCTAAAGCAATACCAGACAGTTTCTCCATCAAACCAAATTAGGATGGTTTGCACACAGTTGTTGCCTTGGTCCATCCTCTCTTGAAAGAGAGCGTATTCCAAGAAAGCGTATCCACACAGTACTGGTATTGTCATTCACAGGCTTTTATTCAATTATTCATAATAAAATGAACAAAAAAAGGCTGTATGCAAATGTATCTGTGTCTTTAAGGCAATAATCACTCCTTACTGGCCAATTCTCATTCGTTGGGTGCCTGATTCAAAATTCACTGCAGCTGACAGAGATCTCTCTACTGAGGATCAGGCCCTGCAACAGGAGACTCTGGGAAATTCAGACCATATGCCTTGGTAGCCAAGAGAATTCCTGCAAGGAGTGCAGTCCTCTACTTGCCCTCCAAAGCAAGACAAGCTTTCCTTGCTCTCACTCAATCTTTTGACTCTGACTACTGAGCTTATTGAGAAACTAGATTCCATTAAAAGGAGCAGAATGAATTCAGTGTTCAAAATCAATGGGCCAAAGCAGATCAAATCAGCCCTTCGTTTGCGGCTTTTCTCCTTTTCCAAGATTCAAGAAATATCTGCATACCCCAGTGACAGAGCAGATGTGAAAAATCACCTGCTATGACTTTTAAAGCCCAGCGCTCCCGTCACCCATTCCAAATCAATTCTCAGTTATTTCACCGCCTTGAACCCGACACAGACACTGACAGGATTTTAGCAAAAACTAATCCAGCCAAAGACCAGCTCAGCTATGCTTTAAGAATAGTTTGGAGAGCATCCTTACTATTGCCTCACTTCAAAAAAAAAAAAAAATCCACAATGATTGACAGCAAAGAAGTTACACGAGTCATTTCTACATTAAATGCCAGAACTCTACATGTGTTTTAAATTACACGACAACACTGTACAACAAAGAAATATGCAGAAATTTTCCACTTGAAGTGAAGGTTAAAAATTAAACACTAACAAAGCTCTAGCAGATATGAAATCCAACCTCACCTTAATGCAAAATTTAAAATGACTGAGCTGTCCTACACAAGGAAAACAGGAATAAATCAATCCAGTTGTTCAAAATAAAAAGAACGGTAGGTTAAAACATGGTCATTATATGTACAGATTTTCACAGCACTCTCACTCTGCTTCAGTACTTACCCTCATCTCTTAAAATGACATTTTGCTTAGATATAATTTATCAAAGTATATTACCTATCCTCATTACTTCAGTGGTCACTCTTGAACTTCATTTTCTTCATCTTATTTAAACAAACTGCAGTGCTCCTAACAATGTGGTTATACGTGAAAACAAGTCAACAGATCAATGGAAATTCACATTTTTCCCTAGAGAAAAGATGATATTTTTGGAGCAAACCTGATTTTTATATACACATGTATATATTCAGGTTATATCTCTCCAAAGCTAAGTAGACAAACACAATTTTATTTTAAGCAGCCCAAGCTTGACTTGATTACAAGGTCTGCACAGAAGTTCTGCCTTAACATAAAGAATTCGAGCGCAATGCAAATAGAAATTTTTAATCTTACTTGTAAATTACCTCTATTTTATGAGAACACTGAGGATAGGACTGGCACTGTGTTATGAGCATGATCCACTTTGGATTACAAGAGGCAGTGTCTAAACTTCGAGACATGAAGTTCGTGTATCTTTACCCAAAATGTTAATCACATAAGCAGATTTTTGATTTACAGTCAGTTTTTAAGTAGCTTGTGTACGGCTCTTCACAGCTGTAAATAGCTGGGGCGAGAACGCTGTGTGGCCGCTCCTGCTTGACATACATACTTACAATTACTGCCAGGAATGTCTTTACATTTTTCAAGACCTCAAACAAACATCATTTTGATCCTCAGGGTTTCTTTTTTGTTTTGTGTTTTTTTTTCCTTTAAAATCAAAACTACATATCAAACATACATTTTTAAAATAACACAACAATTTCCATCCCGAGTTATTCTTTCGCTACTTGGCATGTCAGCTTGTTATAGTTTTCATTTCTTTTGTTTTGCAGTAAGAAAAATGCAGACCTCCAACCACACATATTCAGCCTACTCAGCTAAAACATTAGAAAGAAAGAAAAAGAGACAGGCCTTTTTTGTCCCTCTAAGAAAACCCCCAAGTAAAGTAAGGGCAGAAGGGAAGTGAGTGCCTGAGCATCCAGGTGCTCCTCATGTTCTCTCTCCCAGCCACCTATCTCCACACCCTGAAAGCCATGGTAGGTCACACAGCCTTGCAATGACTTTGGCAATTGAACAGATTTGGACCAATTCAAGAGACAAGGCTCTCAAAACATGACTCCCATCAGCAGGTTGCCTTCAACTCCACACAGAAGCCAACAATTTCCCAACACGTGTCTCTAAACACTTCAGTAACTCAGAGCAGCGACCAAGTCACACAGACCCAGGGCTATCAGAGCCCTGGAAGGACAGGCAGCTGCAGAGCCTGCACCCAGGACGGGAATGTTATAGTGATCCAAGACCACACTTTTCTCCAAGGGCAGCACCACAGGTTTGGGAGATGCTCTCACACGTGTCTTCTCCCCTTCTCCAAGTCACGTTTCCTTTTGACAGCTGAGACAGGCATGAGCTGGTCCTCACAGCCTGAACAACCAAAGTGACCTTTACCAGGGGACTGAAGGACACAAACCCCTACACATTAAACCAATCATTTGTGTTGGGGGGGAAAAAAAAAATCTATTTCTTCATTATTCTCAGACTTCCAACACACTAACAAAAAATGCATCACGAGTATGTTAACGCTATTCTGCAGTACTTAGCAAAATAAAAGAAAATTTACATGTCCAGGGGAAACTGAAAACAAATTTCTAAAAACAATTTGAACATAAATTTCCTCTTTTGCAAAATATGCAAAGTCCACACAGAGGAGTAGTGGGAGGATGCAGAATCAAGTTTATTGGTCTGCTCATAAAGTTCTTTGTAAAGTCTAATAAGCAAATAATACAAGTCATCTTAAAAAGCAATTTTTTTAAAATAATGAAAGATCCCTAACAAATGTTCTAAGTGACCCCCTAAGGATTAACCCTTTTACTTGCTCTTTGCTAGACCTCCTTGCCAGCTGTCCTACATTACAGCAGTTTACTAAGAAATAAACTCAACACTGATACTGAAAACTTAAAGCAAGTCTTGCAAAAGGTAAGAGGTTAAGACGTGAATATTCAAAAAGCCCATTCTACTGAGTGTTTTGAAGAGAATAAATTGTACCTTAACAAAGAAAGAAGTCAATAAATTATGCTACCAGAAGAGAATTCAAAGTCTCCAGGTTGGCAGTGTCTTTGCAATAATTCTGGCTCCAGAAACTCAGATAACAGCCTGCACATTTGAGGGAACTATTTAGCAGCAATAAATAGCCAGACTGCAAAATCATTAATAGGAAAATGAAAAGAGGGAGAAACTAAAAACCTCCTAAAATTAAATACATTTAGAATTATAGAATGATTTGGGTTGGAAGGGACATTAAAGACCATCTTGTTCCAACCCCCTGCCACGGGTAGGGATGCCACCCACTAGGCCAGGTGCCTCAAAGCCCCATCTGGCCTTTCATGAGTGTAAATGAACAGGAAACTAAAAATCTTTAGCAGGAGTGGATATCATTGTGCCCAGCTCTTCTGCCTCACCCAGGCAGCTGTATGCAGCTGCCTGAAAACCCCCAAAGCAGGGACAGAGGCACATTAGTTAAGCATTCATCATCAACAGGAAATGCGCATGAGTTCATATAAACACAGAAACACAAATACATAAACCAACAGCCTTGCACAGTTTAAGGTATTTCAGACACCCCATGGAATAGGGTTGGAGCTGTACCGGCTGGGAACCCACAGCTTCGATGTATTTGTTTTGGAATGGCAAACAGCCTCAGGACTCAGCAGAGCTCTTCTGGTGGGCACCACCAACCAACCAACCCACCCACGAGCCGCCCCTTGCTGCCGCAGCCACCCGGCACCCCTGTGCTCTTAACTCCTTCATCTCCTCCAGAGCCAAGCCCAGCAACCCTGGCTGTTCATGCTCCCACGAGAAGAATGACACATTCCAAAGTGTTCCCAAGAAAAGACTGTGGCGTTGTTTGCAAACTCTACTCTGGATACACTCGCACACGGACGCTGCGACGCAACCGCAGGATTTAAAGGATTCTCTTTTGCAACCTGTTGTGCTGCCTCTGAACCACTGTCACGGGCAATTAAACGGGATGCACACGGATCACACGGGGTTCCTGGTGGATTTGGACACCAGCACTCACCTTACACAGGCAAAAGGACAGGGAGTGGGAATCCTCCCTGCACAAGTCATCTTTTTTCGTTTGTGATGGGGCTGAGGGCTGGGAGGGCCTCAAAGCTCCCCTCGCACTGGAGGTCCCTCACAGCTGTGCTCCATCCAAACAGGTGGTGAAGGCCGAACCAGGCTGTGCCCAAGTTTAAACTGCTAATTAATATTTGGTCTCAGAAGCTTGGTATCAGATAATAAAAAATTACAGCCATCAGGAGGACATAAAAACAGTAAAAACGGAGACAACCTCAATTCCAGACAGCCTTGAGTTCTCTAAAGCACCATTAGGTTGCTTATTTACTTAGAAAAGTCTATCTACCTCTGTCACTTTCTGGATGAGATACAATTTCTCCCATGCCAGTGAACTAGATGGGATTCCTGTTTGGATTTCAGTGGTCTCCAAAACTGCACACTAAATTGTCTCAACTTTGCTTAGTACTTTGTGGCTTCAGTTTTCCCATACTGCACAGTCAAATGTAAACTGTTATCTTTTAAACTCTTTCTTGCCTTGCCAGTCTGCACATTTGTTCTGCCATGTAGTTTTTCAGGCACTGAAAGTGCTGTTGACCTTGAAAGTTAGGCCATGATGAGTTGGGTGACCGTATCCCAGTAGCTACACATTTTCAGCTGGCATTTCAGCTACAAACACATCTCTAGAGAGCACACTTCTGGACTTCCTATCCTCCATTATGCAGGCACAGCAGGCTTCCAAACCCCCTTCCAAACATGGCTGCACACCGTGATGCCGCCAGGCTGCTGCTGGACCAGCCCTGCATTATATTTTTTGACATAAGTTAAGCTCTGTGCTTCATTTCTCACAAACGCTGTTTGACTGTAGACAGCAGCCGACAAGTAAATCTACCCTTTTCCATGGCAAACAGCCCAACTTTAATATTTTTACTGGCTTACAGCTGGGTAAATTAAGCCCCAGATTTTTATTTATTTATTTTTTAATACCGTGCAACTGAAAATGAACAGCTACTTCACCACGACTGCCAAGGACAACCTTAAAAACACTAATGCAATCCAGTCCAGCTCTCAATAGATCTATAAAGGCTAGAGGACCAAAAATTTCAGCTTATCCACCCAAACAAAATGTTGGTTGGGCAGGAAGTCTAAGATTTCATTAAGATGCTTTAAAAAAAAAAAAAAAAAAGAAAGGAAAGAAAAAAATCCCTGGCAATCTGAAGATGGTAACAGTCCCAGCTATAATGCCATGAAATGGGAATTAAAATGTGTTACTTACCCCAGCCTTCCCAGCATTTCAAGCTCTGGAACTTGTGGTCCATATGTCTCCACTTGCAGGGGCTGATACTCATACAAAGTTTCCTCTAGCTTTTGAATGGGAGCTAGTGAAATATGCTGACCCTGTTAAAAGGAAAAAAAAAAGATTGCTGTATACCAAGTCAAGGTTTTGTTTTGACCTTATTTAAATGCAATGCTAGAACAAGTTGATACCATTAACCTGGTCCAGATAAAGACCATCCCATTAAGAACATTTTGTCCACTGTATCACTTATTTCTTCATGATTTAAATTTTTTACTGGGAGCTACAGATTGGAAGTGATGTTTCATTAGCTATAGCTGTTTGGACAAGGTAGGAGGAAGGGGGCAAGTTTTATTGAAGGTGAGTTTACCGTTAGAGAGCACAGCTGCTTCCAGTGTCACTAGTAAAATTATTATTAGGTTAAAATTTTGTTTATCAGAAGTACTATCAAACAAATGTCTCTGAGAAAACCACTTAATTCTGTAATCAATGATTTCCTGAAAGCCCTCATTAGAAAGGGAAGCCGCTTTCCTTTCTCTCTGCAGGCTTTGCAAGCTCCCATATATAATGGCTCTCAAGGTAGACTTTTACAGAGCAATACAATTAATTCATTCAGCAAATTCCCATTTGTTTCATAGCTAAAAATACAGAAACACACAAACACTAAACTTTCATTCCAGATGGTACTTTTGCAAGCCCTTCAGACCACTGAGAAATAGTGAGATTTCCACCTCCCGCCTCCCCCTCTCCAAGTCCCTATCACTCCAAGCTCTCACAAAACAGGAGACTTGTGGCTGGAAAGGAGGGGGTCAGGAGGATATGAGATAGAGCCAAAGTTAACAGATGTTGCTGCGTGACATTCTACACTGATTTGTTGATCTTTCACACAGTTTCAATTTTCTACTGTATTCTATGGTGCTCACAAAAATTAGCAGCAGCAGCAAAAAGACAGAGCACTATGAGGTCTCCCAAAACAGCCCTGTAGAAACTGAGCTTCCCATCTGCAAAATGCAAGAATTTAGCAAAGTAGTAGTATTGTTTTTGTAGACATTTTGTCTGCAACAGGAGATGGGAAGCTTTCCATGGTGTAATGCCATGTATAACCCTGGCTCCCGCTGGTGATCACTTACTGAGTTGAGCTTCCCTGGGGCCACTCATGTGAGCATCTACTCCCTCAAGTGGAAACTACAGGCTCCCAATGTGGGACATTGGGTTAAAATTAACTAAAGACAGGGGGAAAAAAAGGTCGGTAGAAGGGGAATGCTGTTAATTAAATTTGTGGTTGAGGACAGTGACCTTTCTGAATTTGGAGCAGAGATATTTTTGTTTAGAGAGTTGCAGAAAATAGCTAAGAAAATTGAAGACACAAGTCCTTGAGAAATGCTGTCATGGATCTAAGCTGATCTCTATGGAAATATCGGCAGCTCAGGTTTTCCACTGAAATGGCTCTACATGTGTGATGAGAACAGACAGTTTTAGCCTTTTTCTGCAGTGCCTGGGGGCCTGGAGAGGCCCCTGCCAGCACCCTTGTGGTGACAGTCCTGGAGGTGAAACATGGTGAAGGAAGTTCTCCACTGAGCCACAGATCACTCCAACTCTCATGGTCAGCACACTTATTTCTGTGCCACAAACTATTGCTGCAACATTAAAAGCAGGCTTCCAAACATTTAAAAAAAAAAAGGTTGGAAAAGAAAGGTTAAAAACTCAGCTCTATTCCACTTTATGACATCTTAAGACACAAACCTGGGGTCTTCTATATTGCTAGAAGTTGTCAATTTACAATCTATTCAAGTTCATGAAAATATTGTACTTTGTAACTACATATATGTGGACCTGTTACACCCATTGTAAGAGATTAATGCTTAAATAAGACTTTTAGATTTCCATTTTTAGCAATATCTTTGACTCTAACCAAACCAGAGGTAAAGACATACCAACATTTTACATGTGTACAGCCTCATCTGGCGAGTGAAAAGTCTCACTCTTTCCAAACCCAAATTTTGTTCAAGCCATAGAAAAGAAAATTCAGTTTCGGGCAAAGATCAAAACCCTGGTAAATATTTTGGGAAACTCCTTGTGTGTGGGAAAAGGGAGCAGCTCAGATTGCAGGAGCCACATCTCTGGAGGGCACCACCAGAACAGCTGCTCACTGTTAGTGGAGTTGCCACTGGTGCATTCCCAACACTTTTAACAAGAGCAACTTCAGCTGACATTGGCCAAGAGACAGGGGAAGGCTCCTGACATGTGGACTGGGCTCATCACTGGCCTCTATTTTCACCCCCATTTATGCTGCTACAGATGCCCACCCCTGGGAACTGCTAGGAGGACAGGATGAATGTGTTCCATTTGTCTTCCTCTCTTTGTGGGGTTCCCAAGGTCAGAAGGGATCACAATGGTCATGAACTCCCAGATGATCAACCAGTAACTGTGAGGGAGCTCCTCTGACCAGTGGGGAGGGTGACTGGTCAGCACACCAGTGGTATGGGGGGCACCAGTGTATGGGTAGTGGGGAAGCCACTGAGCCATGCCAGAACCTCTCTGTGAGGTGGGGAATTGCATCACCAACACACTGTGGTGGCCTCGAGAGCAGCAGAACATCAGAAGAGGAACTGTCCACCCTCAAGCTGGTCTGACCTCATGCCCAGCACAGGCCAGGACATTTTGTGTTCCTGTACAAAGCTCAAGGACCGGCAGTTCAGCCAAAACACCTGAAAGGTGTCCAATCTAGGCTGAGAGATGTCAGATCATAAAGGTTCAGGCACATCCCCTAGGTAAGTTGTTGCAATAGTTAATTATCTTCACCATTAAATATTGGCAAGTGATTTTTTGTTCATCAGTTTCCAAGCAGTGACTCTCTCCTACGTCTTTCTCACCCACATCCTGGGCCAAGGTGCAAGTGTTAGGAACCAGGATGTACTTTTACATGGCAAAACAACTGTAGTGCTTTGTGTCCAGCCAGCAGATCTGCACCTCAAGGAGATTATGCAGCTGTATGAGACAGCTCATTTGTTTTCATTTCCCAAAATCACAACTTTAGCTGATGGGCTTTGGCAACATGGATTACATTCCACTTAGCAATGGGTAAAAAAACCCCACGACCAGCTGTTGTTCCTGCCCTATAGCTGTCTGGCCTTTAGGCTCCTTAGCTCATGGGCTTCCAGCTTGTTCAGCCCTGCACAGGTTAGTGTGGTCCCAAGCAGTGGGTATGGCACAGAGCAGTGCAAAAGGCTGGGATGCAAACCAAAAGCATTGCCTTCCCTATTTCCACTGATGTTGGGACAAGACAATTCACAAAAAAAAAACCTTGTTGAGGTCAAAAGGCTCAATTTGACCACTGTTATCTCAGTTAAAAGCTGTTTGACCAGAAGCATCCCAGTTTTGTCTCTCTGTCCCAAGTGGTCCCTAACAGTTTCATAACACACTGGTATAATAGGGATGCTGCTGTGTAACTTTAAAGACAATAACTGTTACTTAGGACTTACACAGCACTTTTACAGATCCAAAACCCATTTCAAATCTATGAGGTAAGACTTTTAAATTTCCTGTATTCCACCTAGACAGTCGGCCTTACCTCTTTCCAGCATTAAGAGGCATTTATCAGCATGCTAAAACCAAAATGAAAGCAGTGGGGCCAAGATCCTACTTCTGCATTGCTTTCTCCTGACAAACCTAAAATCTGACGCTGTGGTCATGGGTAAGTATTTCTAATTCCCCTTGGATGCTGTAATGTTTGTGTAAAAGAAGCTGACAGTATCCAAATGGAGATAGAAAAGGCTTCCAAGAACAGAGACAACACATTTTCCTGCCTCCTCTCCCTCCCACCCCTATCTTCATGGCATACAAGTGTTTTCTCTGGGATTATTTTAGGCACTGGAGCTGCCTATTACATATTGGAATGTATGGAACCACAAAACATGCTGCTAATTAGAAGGAAGGCATTTGCTTATCCTTAGGACTTTGTTTATGTAAAAGCCTGCACAGCAATGGATTTGTCAGCAACTGACTTCCCATTCATGTACTGTGTGGTTTCAGAGGAGAGAAATACAGGATTAAATTGGGAGAGGGGGGGTTAAATAATGTCTTTGCATTAGAAATAAAACTGACCCCCTGATTTACTTTTCATTATCCAAATATACTGTTTGAGACATCCCCCAGTTGAAATAATAAGAAACAACAGCCGTGGCCAATTTTGGTTTCAGACTGTGATACAACATGGCATTAATAAAAGAAAAGCCATGGATTATACACGGGGAAGAGCTGCCCTGGCAGTGACAAGGAGCTTATTTTAAACAAAAACAATGCTCTTTTAGGAAGAATCATGGCTACTAGAACATCAAAATTATAGAGTATCAGTGCACCTTTCACACAGGTTTGGGAGACTCTTGGCAAATGTCAGGTATATCAGTATTTGCCTGCTGGCAGAAGAGGTTATTTTAGCTAACAGAGTCCAGAAATATCTGCTCAAGGTGCAGCGTTCACAATTCTTCCCATCCTGTCCTCTCTCCCTTTCCCTGCCTTCCTTCACCTCCTTCCCTCTGCAGCAAAAAGAAACAACTGACAGTCTCCTCAGAAATCTTTCAAGTGCTGAGGAGGAGAAAGGAGACTGACACCAAAAATGCACTAGTAGGGGAAAGAGGAGGAACAGCTATGCCACAAAAACATCCCCAGGCAAGAGACAGAAGCCAGAGACTGGGGTCAGTAAAACTTGTCCAGACAAGGCATGTTTCTGTACTAGCAGCAGCTGGATGAGTTGTTGCAGCCAATCTTTTTGCTTTTTTAATTTCTCTCTGCTTAGGACCTTACTCAGCTCTGCTATCACCACATTTCCAGAGCACAGCACACGTCAGATAACAGAAATAGCAGTATTCGTGCTATGTCTCATTAAGTCAGTTTGCAGCAATGTTATTTTTATTTAACCCTTTTCACTGTCAGGTCACCTTCCCCAGCCTGGTGTAAGGAGCATAAAAGGAACCAAGGTCTGTGGGATGCCAGGGCATGACACTGCTAAAAAATCTCCAGCATTGCCTTGATTGTACGTGGTGCAACAGAGAAGTTAACAAAGGCCCTTTTTGACACACCATCATCTGAGTGTATAATTATC